GTTCAAAGCCGCAAGTCAGACCCGGAGGGTAAAGGAGAACACAAGCACAATGCAGGACCTTGTGGTTTTGCAAGGCATGAATATATAATGGTAAATTCTTATTTTTTTACACATTTTCTTTTACACATTTTCCTTAACTAATTTTCTTTTCTTTGTTATTGCAGACGGTTGAGAATGATGGTGAACCACCTTCCTACACAGACCTTGTCAGGAGGACACACACACGCAAGGATGGCACTTTTATTGACTATCGAGCTGAAGAACTGGTGACTAAAGCTGAGATGGAAGCCACACAGCTCGCTAACACTGAAGGATCACCAGGAAGTACATCAACAGCATCAGCTCCTCCTCGCATCTTGTTAAACAAAGCGTATCTGAAGGTATGTTTTCAATATGTTGTCTTTTTGCGTTTTATCTTAATCTGGTGTTTAGAATTATACTTGGCGTTATAGATATTAATTGTTTGTTTCCTCTATAGAAGTAGGTACTAATTAGGAGTTATAAGCAAGCCTCTTATTTATAATGTTGTATGTGGAGTTGGTTTTGACTGAATATGTTTTACCTTTGCTGCAGAATGCTAAGGGTAAGAGGGGGCATATCTATGGACTCGGTAATGCCCAGTATAGGGAAAATGCACCATCTTCAAGAGTCCCAGGTGCACTTGCCCGCAATCTGGAGTTGGAGTTGCGTGTGAATGGACTGGAGACAAGCTTGCAAAGCGTGCTTACTGATGTAAGTTCAGTAAAGGGGGATGTGGCAACAATGAAGGAGGACGTCTCAGCAACAAGGGCTGCAATCAATCAGCTCCTCCAAACATTTATACCCCAAGCATCTCAGCAACAAGCTCCTTCCACTNATTCTTAAAACTCTATCCTTTTGTTCTTAAGACTAAATGCTTTGTTTAATATTAATTTTATGTTAAGTATTTTGTAAACCAACTTTCCATTAATATAATTTCATGTTTTGTTTAAGATTAATTATTAGAATGTCAATTAGTTTAATTGGTAAATTAAATCTGTAATCAAAAATAGAATCATTTAGCCAAAAAGGGTGGTTATATATTGCCACGAAAAACAAAGTGGCAAAAACGTGGCAAGTTTAAGCCACGATTGTAAAACTTAAAACCGTGGCTAAAGATGCCACGAGAAAACAACGTGACAAAATCCATGGTTGTGTAAAGCCACGATAAACTGCTAAAGCCGTGGCTAAAAATAGTGGCTTGAAGCCACGAAACTGTCGTGGTAAGACCGTGGCTAAAGATGCCACGAGAAAACAACGTGACAAAATCCGTGGTTGTGTAAAGCCACGATAAACTGCTAAAACCGTGGCTAAAAATAGTGGCTTTAAGCCACGAAACTGTCGTGGTAAGACCGTGGCTTTTTAACCACGATAAGCCACGGTTTTTTTCAGCCACGAAGCTATAGCCACGGTAATCTTCTCGACATTGAATCGTGGCTTCTTATCAGATAGCCACGTTTTTTGGCTTACGGAGCCACGGTTTCGAAGTGGCTGTCTCGTGGCTATACGTGAGATTTCTACTAGTGAATGGTTTATTTGAAAACCTTATTCATATTCCGAAGATAGTATCATTTACTTTTCAAAAATATCTATAATTAAAAATTGCTCTAACTCTGATAAAAGAAAATGAATTAAAAAATTTGATCGAAAACCCAAACGAAAAGATGGATACTGAAAAATCGATAGGTACACAATTGTGTATGATCGATATTCAAACTGTTACATGAGAGCAAAACTATTAAATAAATTAAACATTAAGGAGTCCTACCATAATGCAGAATCATGACATGGTCACTAGTTGATGAATCCCGAAGCGAAGTGAATGACTGAGAGGATGATGATTTTGGACTCCATATTGTATCTCTTACATGCTGCATCGTTAACAGTGGCGATAATTGTTGTCCTCTGCATCTTATCTCTATCTGTTTTCATTGGCATTCATAAAACAAACCAAAATGAGTAAAAAAATCAGAAATTTACATGATCTGCAAAGTTTTATACACTGTCTATGACTATAACCACTTAAGTTCGCATTTTATGTGTGTTTTTCCTATTGTCAACAACATTTAAGAAACTTGGGCAGTGTTTGTTGTCGTAGTTAATGTAACGTATGCCTTAACCTAAATCCCTCTTTTCTCCGACTTGACGCCAAAGATACGAAGTGGAAGAAAACAAAAGCATTAAGAACAGCTAAATTTTGGCCAGCTGACACTAAAAGGTAATGAATTTTAAAAATGTCGCTATGAAAAAGAAAAAGACAAACCAAAATCTGGTCAGTTCCGAAAGGCTAACCGAGGCTGACATTACCGTGTAAACCTGCCCGCGACTTTCAATCATGACGGGGCCTAGTTAGACTTTTCACAAAATGTGAACGTAAAAAAAATCATCACCAGATTTGTCTTACAATTGACGATATTGAGTTTACTTTTAGAATAATAATTCAGCAAAACTGAATTTTAGAGTTATACTGGTTGCATGCTGCCTCAAATTAAACTCAAAATCACGTTTTCATGCACGTTTAATCATCCAAAAAGATGCAAGTGTTCCTCTATGTAATCAAGTTTTGTATTATTCTGCTGTTGAACTGTCAAGCGTTCAGATCTAGTCTTCTAGTTCTCCTTATTTGTCAAGAAACACGTTGTTTTATGTTCTATTATAGGAACGTGATTGGTTGGTGAAGAGACCATCAAGTTATTTCAAAACTCAGGATAGTGCACCACTTGCGATTATGATGCGACATATTGCACGTAACTTTAAGCCCACTATTAAAAATCTATTTACGAAATAAAACATAAATATCTACTATTAGCTGACCTTAGCAAGCATAAGCGTGACGCAGGCTTGTTTACAACAATTTCACTTTTAAAAATTGAATAGAGATACCTTGTATATGACCACACAACCTTAGACTAGTAGCTATTAAACCAATATATTCACACATATGATTTTCTAAATATCGGCCAACATTTTCACGGTCAAGATCTTACTAGTAATATGATTACACAGTAAACTCTATAAACTAATAAATATTATAAATTAATAATTTTTTTGATCTCAAGTTAGACCAATTCAAAATATAACATATATAAATCAATAATATAATAATCTCAATAAAATATAAATTATTAATTATATATATATATATATGTTTTATATAAGTACAAACCAATCAGTATATTGTTTATAGAATATTCTCAATACAATTATTTTATACTTCTTAAAATTTAATAGATTTCGAAGAGATTTAGTAAAATTATATCTAAAACTATATTTAAATTCTGTGAGACATATTTCAAGTACACCACATAATTAAACAAACTAATATAAATATCAAATTTCAAAAATTTAATTAATCTATATGCACTAAAATAGAAGTTTTTTATTTAATTAAAAATATATATTTTAACGTAGAAAAATAAAAAAATGATTTTTTGTAAATTAATAACTCTATAAATTAATAAAATATTAAATTCCAAACATTATTAACTTTGGAATTTTTACTGTATATTTATTATTAACTCCTACGTACATATTGTATTTCTAGGTCTGTTAACCCTAGGTAACAATTGTTATGCGTGCAAATAAGTGTTTAAACCTAAATATGAAAACTTTTGTTAGAATATGATAAAATATTATTTAGATGATGGATTTGTAAGTTTTTTTTACTGTTAGCTAGATATCTATAATGCTGGTATAAGAGAGGACGACAAAAAATCGTAGCTAAATATATGCTACTTTGATATTTGTGATGAATTCTTTTTCCATGTATAATAAAAAGCTATAGTGGATATATCTCATTCTGTTACAAAAAAAAAGGATATATCTCACTCATCCAAAATCAAATAAAAAGACGATAAAGTATAGCCATCCTAGTGTTGATGGTGCCTCTCGATGACTAGAAAAGGTAGGTAATGATAACTATGTCATTGGCTCAATACATGACATGCCAGCTCAATTTTTGTTTGTTAACCTACCGTCGTGAACTTGGTTTATATATGTGCGAGTATGTTGCTAAATATAGTTAATAAAGGGTATTGAAATGCCATGCACGCTGACCAATATCACTACTACTCTATTTGAGGGAGTTTTTATAAATCGGCGTAACAAATATTCTCTAATTTGATGAAGAACATTGACTTTAAACTCCTAGTGTATAAATTGAAGAACAAAATCAGAAACAAGATTGTGATGGATTTCTTGACTTTGATTTTATATATGCCGAGTTTTTATAAATCGGCGTAACAAATATTCTCTAATTTGATGAAGAACATTGACCTTAAACTCCTAGTGTATAAATTGAAGAACAAAATCAGAAACAAGATTGTGATGTATCATAATTGTGATGGATTTCTTGACTTTCATTTTAATCCGGAAAACAAATACAATAATGTATCATAATTGTGATGGATTCATGACTTTGATTTTATATATGCGTAGGATGACTGATCATGATGTGTGATGTGCGCAGAAACTGATATTTTTAAACAAACGTAAGCAATTTTTCTTCAGATTGTTTTTTACAAATTGGTAAGTTCTCAAGTAATTGTAGAAAATTCGCCTTGGATTACTAGTTTAAAAAACAAAATGTGTTTTTGATCGCTTCTTCGTAAGATTAGCAATCTAAATCTCTATAATATTATTTGATAAGTCAGTTTCCTAGATGTCCTGCTCACGTTAACTTTCGTAATGGTTGATTACATAGATACCCTTAATGAATTGTTAGATTTTAAGATTATTATTAATTCTTTTATGTAATTTCTTTTTTACCTTTTTTCAAATAACATATATAATAAAAAGGAAAAATATTTCTAAAATTTAAAAATGAAATTATATGTATATAATATGACTTTATTAAAAAGGAAAGTTCATAAAATAGTAATACCTCCATTAATATATATTTTTAAATAACATAAAATATATTTTCAAAATAATAAAAATATATATATGTTCATGAATATCCAAAAATTTATCAGTTACACTTTATTTTCTAATATATTTTTTAGAAATCAACATATAATTTGATAAATATTATGAAAATATAATTTGATTTGACTTAACTAAAATAAAGAGTAGATAAATATTTATGAAAATACATGTATAATTAAGCGATACATAAAACTATTTTGATTTGATTTAACTAAAATAAAAAGTAATTATACTTCAATTTTAATTTAAAAATATAACTCAATATACTCACAAAATGAATGACTCGACTAATCTAATTTATATCCAAATTAAACATCTAACTACAATAAGAACATATAATTTATTAATAATAATATATTTAATTTTATTCATATAAGAACATCTAACTAAGAATAGATTTACATATCTAAGACAATAACCAACCGAAATGAAATAAGAAAATTAATTAAAGTTTTATTATATTTAGAATAAAAAATATTATAGCTGAACTCGAAAACATATATTATCCAATATACCAAATTGATAACCAAACCGACTATTGATCCAAAAAATAATTAAATCGACAATATCCGAAGTCATACGTATAATTAGAGTAATATAATTTATATATATATATATATATATTGATTCAAAACTAAAACTAAATATCAACCAGTTATTATAAAATTTTACTTTTATAAATATTCATACCCGTGCATGAGCACGAAAAATCACCTAGTTTATATGTATATATAATTAATAAGTGAAAAGGAATACCGTTCTGTTGTTTTAACTATTTTAACGAAACTCAAAGTAATCGTCTATTTACCCTACAAATTGCCATATATATTGTGCGGTAATCAAAGAGAATGTGTTGCAAAGGAAAAAGAGAGAAGTTAATAATTAATATAAAGTTATTATCATCACTTAATTATAAAGCTTGAAATCGATTTTCATCCGACATTTAAATGGGGTAGCAACTAATTATCTGAATAGGAAAAGTTTTTGAATATAAAGATTAAGCAGTGAAGGTTTGTTATGCTTGTGAGTGGGAAAGGCAACTCTTTTGGCTTGATGGAAAAGACAAAGTTAGCCATGCATGCATCAATGCTTTCAAATCACGTTTTTCATGATCAGATGATTAGTTAAGTAAGGATTTTATATGTCACTCATTTCAATTGTCTATCATGGTGAGTATCAAATATCAATATAGAATGTTATGTTCACAATACATTAATTAATCGGATCAAATATCAATATATTCCTGTGACGACATGCATGCTCTAAAGAAAGCAAGCAAAAAAATAATTAAAAAAAGAACGTATGATCATAATTAATTTCTGTCTCTTAATTAAAATTTTTACGATTTCTTAAATTTTAACTAAGTGAAGGTAGGAACCGTTTCTTAAATAAGTGATATAAGAATTATCTATTAATCGAAAAAAATGAAAATCATGAGTTAATAATCTCGGTTAAAAAATCAGAGTCAATCATGTCCTAAGCATTGAATGGAAAACTATATTATTTTATTTGTATGTTATGTGAAACCCAACTTTTTATAATATTTTTTTATAAATTAAAATTCATATTAACTTCAGACTATTTTACGACAAGTTTTAGTCCAAAATTTCTTCATGTCAAAATTAATTGGAAAAAATTAACTGAATTGATGGCGTTAACTAATTGAAAGTTTTTTTTGTCAAATCTAAAATATAAACTTAAATTATTTAAACTTTGATAACCAAACTTTAAAATTCAAATTTTTTGTCGTCAAATCTAAAACTATAGTTAAGCCTTTTATCGAAAAAAATCTAAAATTATAGTTTAGACATTAATAGTTTATATATAATTAAATGAAGGAGTACTTCATATTAATATCTAAACTTTGATAAATAAGTGTGCGTATAAATTGATGGCCAATCTCCACAACCAAGAGACGGCATGAATGAACTAATGTTGTAAGAAGAGTGGCGTTTTATCGTCATGTAAACGGATGCTTCGACGTTCGTTTATTTGACTAATGTTCCAGAAAATGCTAGCCGTTTATAGGCATTTCCCTTCTCTAAAAAGAATACATTCTTGTATATCTAATATTAGCAAGCGCTGATCTATTAATGATCGGATACTTAAGTTTGATCACCACCTAATATACTGTATATGTACACAGACACCTACACATGCAGTTGATTCTTGTATGGCACAAGACTTCATATCTCATGAACATATATTTGTGAGCCTATCTAGACTATAGGAACATGCAATATTTGATTATTGTAGATTCTGATTAACGAGAGCATCTACACACACAAATACGCATGTAAGCTTTTGAGGTTGGATTAAGATATCCTTTCTTTTGTGGTTTCTACTATTTTCAAAGCAGGCATGCCTGATGACTCAGAGTTATTTTATTCCAAAAATAACGTTATCATAAAATTATTATTAATATAACTATATTATAGTTTGAAACTAATGAAAAGGCCAGTTATAGTTCCCCTCTCGTTTTCATTTCCCTATGTACATTTTATATCAATTATAATGTTAATAATTATTGATAAGGTGGTGGGTACTTTACGAAACGACCAATCAAAAACCTAATTAACAACTATTTTATTTTTTACATAAGATATATACTAAATTTTTTGGATGATCAAAATTTTTATTAGAGTGATTTTTGAAGCTAAAATACTTGTTAGGAACCAGGAAGCCAAAGTTATGAATAATTAGATTGATTTAACATAGAAGGAATTGAAGTATATAAATCCAAACCCTAGGGTACTCGTGAGTATTTATTAAATTTTAACATAAATTAAGGATGTTGTGTAGCTCTCAATATTCAGATAGTGGTTTCACTCACCTTAATTACTACGATTTGAATATTTGTAGTAAACATTTAATTGACTATGTTATAGACAATTACGTCGGTGCACAAAAAAGAAACAATTACGACACCATGACATCAGACGTGCGACCTAATAAGTTGGGGATCTAGTTCTAATGTCATTTTCATTTCATACCTACAAAACTTAGAAGATTAAAAAGCATAAATAAAAGAGTCGGAGTTTAGATATTTACCTCAGATTCGCTTTCCAATTGAAGCTTCTTCATAAGGTACTTAATTAGCAATCTAACTGTGATTTTCCCGTCTCTTATCCATGCAAATTCAAAACATAATAGAAGTTATATCGTTAGTAACTTCCATGTACAAATCAAATTAAATAATGCATGAGACAAAATAGACTTACTTGATTCTCAAGTAGCGTTTATTAACTTGAGGCAAAAACGGTTCCTTTTCCCTGCGTTCACAAATCCAGATTTATCAAACATATATACACATGTAGACTCACAAGTGTTGCATACTAATGTAAACATATGAAAAAAAGGTAAGATAGGTCGTCTTATTTACTGAAATTGTGAAGCTTGAAGAAGAAACCAAAGACCAGAATGTGGTCTTTTTGGAGGGTCAAGAACCCTAAACTCCGAGCTTGGTCCAGCTCCTCCGTCCTCCCCACAACAACTCCTTGTAACATTATTATTTTTAATGACGTTACACTCACTCATCATTCCTAATGATGACGGTCTACATGGCAGCGTGTATTGAGGTATCCATGGCATTGAAGATGGAAACGAAAAGCCTCCACTGATCAACGTCTGAGGCCGAATAAATTGATTATTGTAAACCAAAGACGCTCCACTCATCGTCAGCAATTGATCATGAGAATATGGAGGCTGCTGTGGCTGCGGTTGATCTGCTACACTACTACTAAACGCTCCTGCCGCGGTTGAGGACGAGGAGAACAAACTGAGCTCTAACGAGTTTTCTCTCCCACGTTCGGTTTTGCTACAACAACGTTGTAGCTTATACGACGCCGTGTTGTTGATGTTCTCCTCAGCGCCTATACCTAAGCGGAGCCAAGATTTGTCTTTGTTATCTTCTATGTTAATACAAGAAACGATGTCGTTCTTTGTGGCGGATCCGTCGTCTTTGTTGCCCTGAGGGGAGGATATGTTATTGTAAATGGCCGAAGCTGCTGTTGGATCAGAGACCGAGCATGTTTCTCCACTAGAATCTTGATTGTTTATTGTTGCTTCTCTCATCATCAACCCTTCCGTGAAACCGCCTTGGCCGCCGCTCCAACCGCCGTAACTGAAAACGCCTAAAAGGGGTGAGGATTCAAGAGGAACCATATTGGTCATATGATCTCAGCATGAGCCCATATATAAAAGGATTATTGAAAAAGTGAGAAGAGAGCTTAGAGAAGGTATGGTTTTGTGGAGAGGAAATGATTCTCATGAAGAAGATAAGGGTTTTGGTTATTATTTATTCATTTTCTCTTATTTACAGATATTATATGATATATGTACTTTTTTAATTATACTATATATGCGTGTAGGGTTGTGAGTGAGAGAGGACGAGGAAGAGAATTATTCCTTTGCAAATCTTACTTTCCATTAATTCTCTTTGTTTGGAAGCTTGTGGGAATGTAAGAAAGAGAGAGAAGAGTGTGATGGTCTTTCTGTCTGTCAGATTTATATTCAATAAAGATATCTGAATTATGAATTTTTTCAAGTACGTAGAGATTATATATACGTAATGTTCAAAAAGCTTATATAATTCAGGACTACACTTTTTCTTTTTCTTACTCAAAATGATTTAACAATATTAATTATTTCTGTAAAAGTTTATTTGGGTTTTATTGACTTTAAAAGGACGAAAGGTATGCCTAGGCGAGGAAAAGGATGAAATGTGGTGTGATCGATCCAGCTATAATCGCTTTTTTCAGGCCATGTTCCGATGACAAAAAACTGACAGCCAAAGTTATTAATTTTTTTCCAACTAATTAAATTATTAATATCCTTATAAAGTTTATTTTTAGCCCTAATGTGCTATTTTTAAATGGGATTTTTGAGATATTGTTGATGTAATTAGATTGTAACCATCCTTTAGTAGTTCTCTTTTTTTTTTCTTTTGATAAATATGAATATCCAAGCACTTTCTACGTCCATATATTAATCCTTCAAAACCTTGTATCCGGGCAAGCGTTGTTCCAATTAAGGCGCGGTAAGATGGTCTTATCGAATTTGATTCTTCAATGTATATGTGTTTAGAGTCTTTAATTAGACTATAAAAATATTTTTGATTATCATTCAGTTAATTTCTTTTGCTTTCCAGCAGAGGCCATCCACAATTCCACATCACTTTCCATAATTTTCGATATACATCTCTATAATATTATTTGAGAAGTCAGTTTCTTACGTGTCGTGCTCACGTTAACTCTCAAAATGGTTGATTACATAGACACCCTTAATGAATTGTTAGATTTTAAGTTTATTATTAATTTTTTATTTAATTTATTTTTTACCTTTTTCCAAATAACATATAATAGTAAAGAGGAAATATTTCTAAAATTTTAAAACAAATTTAAAACGAAAATATATGTATATAATATGACTTTATTAAAAAGGAAAATTCACAAAATAGTAATATCCCCATTAATATATATTTTTAAATAACATAAAACATATTTTCAAAATAATAAAAATATATATGTTCATGAACATTCAAAAATTTATCAGTTACGCTTTATTTTCTAATATTTTTTTTTAGAAATCAACATATAATTTGATAAATATTATGAAAATACATGTATATTTAAGCGATAAATAAAACTAATTTGATTGGACTTAATTAAAATGAAAAGTAATTATACTTCAAATTTTAATTTAAAAATATATTTAACTCAATATACTCACAAAACGAATGACTCGACTAATCTAATTTATATCAAAAATTAAATATCTAACTACAATAAGAGCATATAATTTCATAATAATAAAAATAATAATAATCTATTTAATTTTATACATATAAATTAGAGGTTGACTCATATTAAAAATAAAAATAAAATATTAACCAATTACAATTTAATTCTTTTCTAGAATTTATATATATTCATGAGACTTCAAAATATTATCATTATATTCATTTATGTAATTGTGAATTAAACACTTCAGCTTATAATTTATTTCATTTTAAGCAAAATATGTATTAAGTTATACATAATTTAACTATAGTATATTTACATATTTAAGACAATAACCAACCGAAAAATAAAAAAATTAATCAAAGTTTTATTATATTTAGAATAAAAAAATATTATAGCTGAATTCGAAAAATGAATATTATCCAATATACCAAATTGATAACCAAACCAACTATTGATCCAAAAAATAATTAAACCGACAATAATATATCCAAAGTCATATGTATAATTAGAATAATATAATATTTCTTAATATAAATTATATATAGAAATTTATTCAAAACTAAAACTAAATATCAATCAATTATTATAAAATTTTACTTTTATAAATACTCATACCCGTGCATGAGCACGGGAAAATACCTAGTATATATATATATATGGTGACAAAATTTTTTTTTTTTTTGAACATTTTCTAAATATGGTGACAAAATTACTCAAAAGGTTATAAAAGCAAATCGTTACTGCTTGGTCGTTTACGTTTGCACAGAAGTTCATGAATGTATAATGAAAACCATGTTGCGTTTGCAAAGATTTAAAAGAAGACCATTTGTAATGATATTAACTAATTTAATCTTCAATTATGATAACTGATTTTCTCCTAAAAAACTATCATTGCAATCTCCTTTTTGTTTTCTACAAAAACTCACTCATTTCCTAAAATATTTTAACAGTCTTACAACTTTATCTTTTCATTAAAGTCTTACGAAAATAGCATCATAAGTTAATCATATGTATCAACAATAACAAAAGAATTTGTGACTATCGAGGCTAGTGGATATTCGATTTGCTAGTGTTGAATTTATTTTCATAGCTAATTTTTGTTTGGCATGTGAAAATATTTCGGCCATACATAGAAAGTAAACTAAATTACTATTGACAATATTGTTATACTACTAACAGTTTCAATACGTTTGCTAGATTGTGTTATTAATTTTACGTTGTGCGCGTGTATATATATATATATATATATATTTCTCATATCTTAAATAAGTTAAAGTGTTCGGGTTTAACGAAATGGGTGATCAACTTATATTAAACAAAATTATTTTACTGCGATACTTATCTACCTTAGAGGTGATTGCTGGTTTTTTATTACTAATGTCTAAAACACATGTACGTGCATCTTGTTAATATGTTATTGTAAGAAATATTCAAAAAACTAAATTTAGTTAAAAAAAGTTCCAAAAATATAAGTAGGACAAATGAAGTACTATATTTGCACTTATTACATATATATGGATATTATAGAGAAAGAGTGCATGAGTGAGTTGATTAAATAATAAAATAGATTTTCGATTAGAAATGAGGCAAGTGGAACTGGCAGAGAGTGGAGAGGAATATGATGACAATACCTGTCAAAATGTCAATAATAAGATAGATTACTTGGAATATTACATAAGAATAAAATATGTATACATGCATGATGGGAAGTTGAATCAAACTAAAAGGAAACCATAAAAGGGAGCGTGAAGAAAGAATGAAAGGCTAATAATAAAGAAATGATGCAAGGAGTAGAAACTGATAAAGCAAGTATTCTTTTTATTTATATATACACAGAAATGTGGTATTAACCAAGCAGTGCTAATCTAATAGTAAAAGATCTGGAATACGGTGTAAACCGTTTATTATGGGTTAAAATTTTCTTCTGAGATCAAAGTTGTAATTTGGATTTGAGTTTTTGGTACATGCAGTTTACATGGTAGTTCCAGGGCCGTGCTTGACACTAAACACATGAAGCATGTACTTCTAATTTAGATTGAGTTTATATATTTAGGGCCGGGGGTCATTTTGATGTGAAATATTCATTAGCACAAATGGTTAGTATTCACCTGTGTATATAGAGGCTGAGAGTGCGATCTTCTATAGGTTCTGTACTTTTTTTTTTTTTTTGGTAAAAGCTGTACTTTTTATTTCATAAGTTATATAATGGTAAAAAAAAATATTCTAGCTCAAAGGCTATAAATTTTCAATTTTCAGATACGGTTCTGAATAGTCTAATAGAAAATTAACTGATTATCCTCTGATATTAATAGAAATACATTTCAAATTTGGATTAAACCGTATAATATGTAATCCACTCTATATAGTATTAAATGCGATTTTATAAGAATTAACCGGCTTAACTGATAGAACATATAAAAGAAATGTGGATATTAAATATATATGCTAGTTAAGAACACATAAATATATAAAACCCCTAAAAATGAAAAAAATAAAAACCCAAAAAGAAAGGAAAAAATAATGAAAAGAGAGTTGGGCATGCATGATGGTGTTTGGTACCGCAGAGCCCGAGGACCCAAACCACAGATGAGGTGGGGACTCTTCTGATCTTTCTCTGAACTCCATGTGACCCCCACAATTCATCTACATTATACAGATAACACATGCATATATACTTTTTATTCCGATTGTCTTTTACGTTTTGGTTATATATATCCTTATATCTTTCACATAGACTGTCTATAGTTGTGTGTGATCGTTGCTGCTGCTGGAAGTTTTTCACCTTCGAACTATTATGTAAACTTTTTAGTCGATATCAACCTAAATGATACTAGAAAAATTAGTCGACAGTGGTAGAAAAAAAGATGGACAATAAAAGGAGAGTTGTTTGAAACAACGAGTTTGAGTTTTGGCGTGAGAAAGAAAATAGATTGAAGAAAAATCCAAGCTAGTTGAAAACGTTTGACGAAATGGTGACATAATAACAAGTGACTGACTAGTCCTTTGTTAAATCTGGCTACTATAATGTAGTTATATAAGAAAAAGGTTGTAAATAGACTAAAGATAAAAGTGTAGTAAAGAACCTTTTTTAGCATGCATGTTAGATGCGATCGTAATACTCATTTAGGTGTAGTATTGTCTTTTCATTTGGTAAAAAAGCACTCTGATTCTTAATATATATATCTATATTCACAGAATATTTTAAATTAAATCTATAGTAACTGAAGACATTTATAATAGAGTTTTCTCCATAGCTTTGATACCATCTAAATTATTTTTAAACCAATGAAAAACGGCAAAGAGATACAAAGCGAGAAGAACATATTTTCACTTATTTACCCCTCCAAAAAACATATTTTCACTTTTTACTAGTTTTGTTTTTAACTCAATAGTTTTTATAATAATTGTGAATTTCCTTTT